ACCTATCCAGTTCTTCCCTACCTGTCAGGAAGGAAAACATTCACTCCTAATGTAGAATTAGCCATCATTTTATATGACTAATTACCTTCTAGTCAGTAGATTGATAGTATACTATATTCAAGCATCAATGGTTCTCTTTATTATCTATCCCAGAAATAATATTACAACTCACCATGTTCACCCACACTGAGGAAATATGGTTCTTTCTTTTGATCTTGTGTTTCCTGATGCATACTGAATGTAAAATTGAGCCATCTGCCTTCTGCCTCAGTTTTCTTTTCAGTACATATGATGTCCTAATTTGAAATGCTTTTAAAATTCAGTTCAGCTATTTTCCTCCCCCCTTCCCTCCCCCCAGTCTTTGATGTACAACATCAAAAAGACTTTTCCACCATGCCTTGCAGCCTGTGTAGGCATGCCCTTCCTCCTGCTTTGGTAGTATTCTATGTATACATTTTTACTGAGGTCAGTGATGATTACTCTAGGGGTAAAGCAATGAAGAACCAGATTTTTGCATCCACTTGGGGCATGAGCCTACCAATTGTTGTGTGTTTGATGGTCCTGCAATTTATTCGTGAATAGATGAATAAGAATTACTTGAGCATTGAGAAATTAAGTTAGCAAATTATTAGCCTTGGCTGGGCTTGAACTTTTCAGGGGAAAACTGTGAAGCTTAATGCCAGGGCCCAGAATATCCACTGCCATCACAAAACCCAGAGGCCTGCAAGAAAAGACTAAGCTTTCTTCTGTAAAACTCAGAGGAGCAACTTTATAGTTTATACCAAAAATTGTTCCCTTGGAAGCTAGAAAATTAAGTATTGTCCTGAATATAATTGCTCTTTTCTGTGGTCTGAGCAGCATAATTCTGGCAGCCTTCAATTCCTGAACTTTAGCAGCCCAGCTGTAAATCCATGAAGGCTGAGAAGATCAGGAGTTTGGGGATCAGCTTTGAATGAGATTGACAGTGGCTAGCAGCCTGGGGATTAATAATGCCGTAATATATAACATAATATCAGTCAATCAATTAAACACATAACTATCTAGCACATGCTATCTTATAGCCTGCAAACATAGAGGTGGAAAGACAGGGACTAAAAGATAATAGTGACGGGAATGAGGACAGGTGCACATGCTCCCATGTGCACATGATCCTTGAGTCTCAGTGCTGTCCTGGGTAAGTAGGGCCCTCTACTAAAATGATCTATCTCAGATTCTGATATTGGAGCTCCCAAGTGAAGGTGACTGGAACCCTTCCCTGCTGCCTCCCCTTCAGTTGCAGAGCCTGGTGGGGATTAGATCTGGGTGTGTAGGGGCAGCAAGTCTGCAGGGACCCCAGGAGCAGGCAGGGAGGGGAACCCCACCACCAGCACCTGCATCAATCTCAGTCTGATCAGGTTGGCAGGGCAGTGGTCTGGGGGTGGCGAACCCAGTTGGGGTAGCAGAGGAGTAATCTGGGAATGGAGGGAGCAGTTTGGGGGTTAGAGGAGAAAGCATTCTGGCAGGTCCCTCACCCTTCCTCATGCCTCTTCCTCCCTGCCCCCCTCACCCCTTTTCCCTCCCTCCCTCCCCACTCAATCCATCTCCACCCACCTGTTGCCCAGCTTGTCCCAGGGCCTTAGAGTCCTGGATGATAGCTAGTTTACCTGAGAGCAGTGTCTTCTGGGATACTGGAGGACTGTGAATTGGTGGTTTTATCTCAGATGACTACCCAGAGGTTAATTTAAGCTGAGCTAGGTAGCACAGCTCAAAGATAATCCTCACTTGAAGTGGTATAACTTGAGTAGTGTAACCTAGAGGACACTTAGCACTTCATTAATGAGCCTTAATGTACAATCCTTCAAGTTTTAAGTGGTCTTAGCATGGTCTGAATGTAATGTGTAATCTCACCCATTTAATGTACAGCCCTTGCTTGCTCTTTCAGTTCCTGGGCACTTAAGGATTCCCAATAAGTCTGGAGAGCTCTTTTGTTAACTGGAGAGAGGCAGATATAGATTTTTCCTTTTCTGCTTCCTCCATAAATATAAGGATGGAACAGAGAACTCTTCTTCCATTTGCACTGGAGCTTAACTGTTCTGGCTACATTTGAGGAGGATAAACTGGGCCTTTCAGAATCTTGGAGCCTAAGAGAACCTCCTACTTAGCCTCTGTCCCAGTTCAGGTAATAAGGAGAAGGGATGAGGAAGGGACCAGGATTGTGTGCTCTAAAACTTTGATGAAAAACCATTCTCTTTGAAAACTCTCTGCATGGACCCACTCAAAGCCTTGGTTTGAGCAAAGGTCTTACTATGCACCGGCCCAAAGGAGCATAGAAAAGACCATGAGCAGCCCCTGTAAGTTCTCTTCTCTTTCAAGTCCATAGCATCAGCAGGTAATCATTCGCACAACATTCTTGTTACCATTGTGAGGCATATACCTTATCATTTGAAAATGGGGCCACCAGAAGTTTTTTTTTCAACATGGTTGCCTGTGCTCTCTGGGACCGAAGCAATTCAGGGTATTTGAACTGCTGTGGTTTGAGCTGATAAACTTATGCAGGCTGGTGTTTCTTCCCTGCTGTTCTGACTCTGGTGCTGTTTAACATTTTGATTAAAGATGTGGAGGCAATAGAGAACTTCTTAATTATATTTGCAGATGTTCTACAATGGGGGTGGGGGGCAGGGAGCTTGTATCCTTTAGAGAATAGGGATAGAATTCAAAACAATCCTGATAAACTGGACAGCTGGCACTAGACAACAGGATGAAATTCAGCAAAGATAAATGCAAGTTAGTATGTCTAGGAAAGAAAAACCAAATGCACAGATGCAGAATTTCCATTGCTTAGACAGTGGCATTGCTGAGACCATTGATTAGACAGTGGCATTGCTAAAAAGAGTCTGGGACTTGTGGTAGAACACAGACTCAACAAGAACAAGCAACATGAAGCAGTTACAAAAAAAGGGTATATGAATGCACTTTTGGACTGTTTAACAGAAATATTATATGCAAGACCTGAGGAAGTGATCGTGCCGTACTACTCAATCTTGATTGGCCTCAGCTAAAGTAGTGTGTGCAGTTCTGGGCACCATGTTTTAAGAAAGGTATAGATAAATTGTAGAGATTCAGAGGCAAGTGCTGAAGACAATAAAGGGGTTGGAAAGCAAGATGCGTAAGGAAAAGTTGAGGGAATGTATGTTTAGCCTGGGAAAAAGGATATTAAAGGGGACATAAATAGCAGTTTTCAAATGCCTTAAAGCAGGGGTGTCCAACCTTTTTGAATGTGGGGCTGGATCACGAACTTTTTATCACCCAGTGGGCCGGCGAGCCATATTCAGAGACCTCACAGAAAGTGGTATCACATCAGGAAGTGATGTCACGTGACCTTTGACACCAATGAAGTTGCAAGAAGTGACAATGAAATGGGCCTGGAAATGTGGCTTAAAATCCAAAATAAAAACAAAATAAAAGCAACAATGAAAATAATAGCAAACACTTAACTAAAATAAACACTGTCGCATAATGAAAGGAGCATAATGCAAGTTGACAGATCAAATGTGGAAAAGATATCAGCCAGAGTGGAAACTAATCAAAGGTGGAGGGGTGTCTTGGCAGGAGACACCTGCGCGGTGCTTTGCAGCCTCAGCCGCCCACTGCCTTGCAAGGGGGAGGGAGCAGGGGCTCCTCAGCGCATCCGAGAGGCTGCGAGAGAGACTTGTGGCTCAGCTGGGCATGGCCACAGCTGCAGCCGGGCATAGAGTGGAGTGGGGCAGGGAGAGCTGCTGCCACGCACGGGAGCCCCAGTCTGGGCTCCTCCTTGTCCTCCTGGCCACAGCCTCCCTGGGATGTGTGGGAAGGGTGCTCTCCGCTCCGCCGCTGCCCCGGTGCCCGCGTGTGCCCACACCACCTCCTGTCCCCAGCAGCACATGAGAAGCGGCCCCCTCAGGAATCGGGGCCTTGCGTGTGGGCGGCTGGGCCCGGAGAGCTGCAGCGCCCGGGGGGAGACTGGCTGGGGGAGCAGGTGCTGCCTTGCTGTGGGGCAGGGTAGGGCAGCGAGGCAGGCGTGGACTGGCAGTGCCAGCGGCCGCTGCTTGGCTTCCCATGCAGGGCTGCTCTGGCAGCATGGGCATGGGCATGGGCTCCGGGACGCGCATCCTCCACACCAGCAACCGGCGTGTCCCAGGCCCGCGAGCGGAGCCGCTCCTCCGCCACCCAGCAGCAAAGTTCTTACATGAAGGCTCCGTCCTGCGCCTGTCCCGAGCCCGCAGCACCGGCTGCGGCCGCCCAGGCAGGCACCGGCTCCTCAGGGCGGGTGGGGCCACTCAGCAGCTGCAGCCAGCGCTGTCCCGAGCTGGGGAGGGGTCCAGCCCTGCAAGGGACCCGGCCGGGCCGCGCCGGACTGACGAGGTGTGTGTGGGGAACCTTGTCCCTTCCCCAGCCCTTCAGCAGCCGTTAGGAAGCTGCTGAGGGGCTGGGGGAGGGACAAGGGGTTTCCTGTCGCGGTGCTGCGGGCCACAGAAAATGCCTTGGCACCCCGCATGTTGGACAAGACTGCCTTAAAGGCTGCTATAAGGAAGAGGGGGAAACATTGTTCTCCCTTGCTGCACAGGACAGGATGCAAGCAGTGGGTTTAGATTATGTCAGCAAAAGCTTCTTTACTGTTACAGCAATAGGATAGTGGAACAAGCTTCCCAGGAACATCATGGCATTGCCCTGAGTGGAGATTTTCAGTAGCTTGCACAGGCACCTCTCTGGGAGAGTATAGGAATAGCAAACTTGGCATCTGTGCAGGGGGTTGCACTAAATGACTTTTGAACTGGCTTCTAGCTCTGGAACTGTATGAAACCAAAAGCGTCTAATTAAAATAGTTTACACCCACGTGACCATCTTGGTGCAAGGTTGCATGTGGTCACATTGGTGGGGAAGGCGTGAAATTTTCCACAAAAGCATGTTTAAAATCCATGCCTGCTGCAGTAGGTAGGTTTCTCTGTATGAAGAGCTGGTGCTTAGCCTATGTGTCTTTGCAGGGGAGGTGGGCTTGGCCTCATCCTGGCCAGCGCAGGCTTTGGTATGCTGACTGCACCAATCATGGAGCTCCATAACCAGAAAGGCTACTTCCTGCACCATGTGATCTTTGCCTGCTGTACGCTCATTTGCATCATCTGCATTCTCCTCTTGCCTGAGAGCAAGAACCAGAACCTGCCAGAGAACATCCCAGACGGGGAACATTACACCAGGCAACCTCTTCTGCCACACAAGAAGGGGGAGCAGCCCTTGCTCCTGACAAACTCTGAACTCAAGGATTACTCTGGTCTCCATGACTCGGCCGCCGTGAGTGATGGGATGTCCGAGAATGCCACCGCCAACGGGATGAAGTCTATGTAACTGGGTGGGGGGTTGGGGTTCTTTTCTTTTCTTTTTTTCTCTTTCTTTCCTTTTTTTGTTTGCTCGTTGGGCAGGAGAAGGAGTTCTCTGGGGTGGGGCTGCTTTTGCCCTGGTTTACAGACCAGTGATGGAAGAAACATGAGGAAATTCAACTCTAGTGGTGATGCCACTTATTATAGGAATCTTCATCTTATGTTCCGATTTGCTTCTGAAAAGCATATGGGAGGAAAAAACCTCATCTGAGATGCGAACTGGCTGGAGATAGCCCTTCAAAACTTCTTCTTTTTTCCCCTGCCATTGTGTATATTTATTTTGATTATTTTTAAGAAGCACTTTATTTTCTTTTCCTCTCATTGATCACAGAAATGAAGCCATCTTATTTTAAGAGGTGTAACCATTCCAAGAAAGCAACTGTGGGTTTTCTTAGAATTTTTTTTTTTGCTTTGTTAAAAGGAAGCAGTATCTCCGCTGCAAAGTTGAATTCACTACAGCTTGGGTTCTTTCCACATTATTTCTGCCTTTCTGGAAGTCAGAACCTGCACACCTTGCCTGCTGCGTGGTTTGGACAAAGAGAACAAAACAATCTGCTGTGACGCAGAGCCTGACTACGTTTAGGCAGCATAAATTCGGTTTTGATAGTGAGCCCCTATGTACTTAAGTTACTTTCCAAATTAAAGTGGTGGAGTCCATTTTTTTATTGACGTAGAAGCAGTTAGGAATATACTGCCCCAAGAAGCCTAATATTTTTTCAATCGGCATCAGCCGTATACATTTTAAATATCCCATTCAGCTCTTTTAGGAAATTCCTGCAAGTGTTTAACAGCAACAGTAATAATAATATAAACAACTCAAATGAATTGAGCAACAGCAATTAAATTGGTTTTACCATGTATGGTTTTAACTAACAGGAGGTTCAAAATCTGTAACTCTGTGTTCCAGAAGAATATTTTAGGTCAAAGGAGACAAAAATGTAGGAACATTGGCTATAATCTGTATGCTTGCTCCACAAGCGAGTTAAACTGAAATTTCCACTACTGCGAGATTGGTGTCATTGCATGTCCTAATTGTTTAAAGCCTATTTTTTAATTTAAATGGCTTAATATTTATAAACGTCTTTAAGAAGGGAATGAATCAACAGATCATTTGAATAAATACTGAAGATGAAAAAGGAAAGGTCTGTTTAAAGCATTGCTTGTGTAAGAAGGACAAGATTGTTCTCCCTTGGAAGTGGTCATTTTTAATGCTACCTAACCACAACTGGATTGTGATTAATATATATTTTGCCCTCTCATTTGCTGTTTTCAACCCAAGAATCTACAGCAAATGGTCACCTTAATCCTATCCAAAAAAAAAAAAAGCAAAAAACAAAACAAAAACCACATTCTTGTAAGATTTCCCTTGCGGGGGAAAAGTGAAATCCTGTAGGATAACTCATTTGATCAATCAAAACAGTTCTGTTCTATGCACAGTAACATGAGAAACAAATCTTTCCTTTGTTGTACAGCTGGCTACTTGGTAATAATAGCCAGATGACCTCTCCCTCTCCAGCCCCCGAACTGGCAATAGATTTGTTTTTGCCATCAAGTTTCAGTTGTTGTTGTGTGAATGTCCTATCAATGTAGTTAATCTAGTTTCTGAACTAGAAGCGTTACTGCATCCTAGATAACATCCCCCTCCCTTTTCCACTCAGGCCATGCATTTGTGATTTGCTCAGTGGTACAGCCATTTCAGTGAACAGAGCAACAGGATGTCTAATGTTGTATTGAGCGTCCATATGAATGCCACTTTGTTTGATGTACATCTTACATTTGTGAGCATGGAAAAGGCTCATCTACCCTTTCCTCCTCTCCCTTCCCCCTTCTGTGCTCTAGAGATTTGTCTGTAAACTACTGTACCTACAACTTGTGTCCTCTGTTTGGCTGCCTTTGTCCTCTTACAACCCACAGTGAATTAGATCTATTGCGTTGTAGGCAACGTAGTAAGTAGCACCACTTCACATGCTGATGGGCATCGAGGATGGGTAGACCTGTCAAAGTGACAGAAATGGTTGTGGCTGGAAAAACAATGTTGTCCTAAAGCTGCTAATTTTTGTGTGGAGGATGTGGGCATTCGGGTTCTTCTTTAACGTGGTAAGAAACACTGGACCAGTTATGGGAATTTTTCCTCAAGTTACGCTACTGTTTTCACAAGACTTGCTGTGACAGTGAGAGCCCAATTTTTGACTGGACCCCTAGTTACCATGTGGCTTGAAGTTGGCCACCTCTCCTATTTTTTTCTGTTTGTTTTGACTCCATGTTCAGATATTTCCAGTCTGCATTCACCTTGAAACTAAGGCCTTTCGATTCGTGCAGTATTCATGTGCCAAACTTGTGTGATACCGTTTGCCTTTTATATGACACTTGTTACAAGTCACAAATCAGGAAAGGTGAGTTTATAACAAAATCGGGGAAGTAAAACAAATAAGAACAGAATTGGGGACCTTGAAATGAGAGCTCAATAGCAAGAGCAGGGGCTAGTGGAAGAGTGGGCAAGCACACGGGCTCAGAGCTGTTACACAGCAGCTGGCAATCCATATGCCATGGATCGGCTTTTTATTCACGGTTTCTGTGCATCTAGGCTCAAGCTACAGTACAAATCTTGTAGACCATTCACAAGACTATTAAACTGACTGCTTTTTGCACTGTTATGATTCTGGTGTGCTCAACGCTGTTGTCCAGAGTGCTTTCTAGTTTCCTATTCTGGCATTTGCTCTTCAGTTACAAACAGGCCCAGGGAAGAGAACAGTTGTTCAAACTTATCGACATATTTATCTAAGACAGTGGTTTTTAGCCTGTGATCCCCGGACCCTTAAGGATCTGCAGACTATGTTTAAGGGATCTTTGAAAGATGAGTATGATCAGTCAAAAGTATGTGAATACCCACACTTACAATTCAAAGGGGTCTGCACCTCCATTCGAAATGTTTTAGGGGTCTACAAATGAAAAAAGGTTGAAAACCACTGATTTAAGAAATAAGTTAGGTGACAGGAGCACTTGGCAATGCTTTTAATGTTTTGGGGTTTTTTTTTTTTACCTTT